TCCATCCATCCATCCATCCATCCATCCATCCATCCATCCATCCATCCATCCATCCATCCATCCATCCATCCATCAGGTTGGGTCGCGGGGGCAGCAGCTTAAGCAAAGAGACCCAGACTTCCCTCTCCCCAGCCACTTGGACCAGCTCCTCTGGGGGAATCCCAAGGTGTTCCCACTCCAGCTGAGAAACATAGTCCCTCCAGTGTGTCCTGGGTCTTCCCCTGGGTCTCCTCCCAGTGGGACATACCCGGAAGACCTCACCAGGGAGGCGTCCAGGAGGCATCCTTACCAGATGCCCGAGCCACCTCAACTGGCTCCTCTCGACATGGAGGAGCAGCGGCTCTACTCAGAGTCCCTCCTGGATGACTGAGCTTCTCACCCTATCTCTAAGGGAGAGCCCAGACACCCTGCAGAGGAAACTCATTTCGGCCGCTTGTATCTGTGATCTCGTTCTTTCGGTCACTACCCAAAGCTCGTGACCATAGATGAGGGTAGGAACGTAGACAGACCGGTAAACCGAGATTTCTGCCTTCTGGCTCATCTCCCGCTTCACCACGACAGATCGATACAAGGTTGACTCGTCATTTTTAATGGGCAGAAGGTTTTTGCTAGTTATTGAGTTGGCAGCTCTGTTTACATCAGCCTGGTACAGCTTGGGTTTTTGTTTTGCTTTTCTGATAAGGCACCAAGATCTTCTGACTGCAGAGGCCCGACTGTGTACCGCTGTGTAGCTGAAAGAAGTCAGAGACGAGAATAAAGATTTTAGAAGAGATTCAACAGGATTTCTGCTATATTATTCAGACTTCCATTTATTGATCACAAATTCCTTTCACACCCATCCATCCATCCATCCATCCATCCATCCATCCATCCATCCATCTATCCATCCATCCATCCATCCATCCATCCATCCATCCATCCATCAGAGCATCCATCCATCCATCCATCTATCCATCCATCCATCTTCTACTCCGAGCTCCTCAACTCTAAGAGTTGAGTCCAGTCACTATACAAAAGAGACTCATTTTAGCCGCTTGTGTCTGGATTAAATTATATTTCATGACCAGAAGTTAAAGTTGGACACCAAAACTGTAAAAGAGTTGGACAGACAACTGAGAGCTGGATCAATGCCCTCATTAGACAAGACTCCAAATCCAACAATCCACCTCCAGTTCCTGGTTCACCCCAAAAACACTCTCAGATACCTGAACTCCAACACAACGGGAGGTTTCCACCTTTTTCTCCAAATGTCCTTAAAAGTCCCCCTCCTGGCTTTACTAGATAAGGATTGTACTGTCAACAAGTAATCATCGTTTCTATTTTAGCAATGTTCATTTAAAGTTCATTATTATTTGTTGCCTTATGTTCCACAGACAATATTTTTCTTACAATATTTTCTGCTTTTTACAGCACATTTATTTTTCACTTTGCAGTTCTGTTCTGATCTGGACCATCTGCCTCTGACAGCACTTGGCCTCCAGCACGAGAGAAAACCCATCAGCACACCGGTTTCAGAGATATGCAACATCTTGATCAGAAACAAACCATAAATATCTCCAGAGGGACGATCCTGAAGCCTGGTAATCTGAAAGAATTTGAAAATCTTTCCAAAAGTTCTTCTGAATCAAAGCCAACTTCGTGCTGCTTTTGAGGAGAAGKTGTGAGAAATATTCTTCTTTCTGTCAGATTCTTCAAAATCAAACCTGAAAAGTCCACTTCTTCATCAGTCGGGGGTCCTCGGGATTCTTTCCTCCTTGGCTTCAGTCGATGTTCAGTTTGGAAAATAATAAAAAATAAGATCCATGGCAAGAAACCAAGAAAGAAACCGCTGCTCACTGGGAGGAAAAATGTAAAAAATTGCCAAAAGGCACCGAGCTGATCTTCTGGCATCACTGTGTGGTTTTTATAGAAAACGCCCTGTTGTGTTTTTATGGTAGAAAAACAAGTAGTGTGTTCATTATAAATCCACTGAAAATCCAAATTACACCTCTGACACTGACTGTGTGGGGACTGTGGGGCTGGATTATGTAAACATTTCTTTAAAAATGTGAGTCAGATTTCCTAATTATTTAAGTTTTTAATTTAAAAAATGCATAATAATAATAGCTTACATATACTGACTTAAGAAAAACACATCTGGAATTTGATTCAAAGGAAACACCAGAGAGGGATCATCCACACGCTCTGCATGTTCCTCAGCAGGTCAGCGACAGAAAGATCCTTGGCTCCATCTACAAATATATTTTAAAACTAATGACAAAAGTTATGAATTACAGCACACGTATTGCACCAGAGAACATAGGTACTAGGGAACATATACTGTTGAACATATACCAAGAAACATACTGAGGAACGTAGGAATGCTCCACACAGAGGAACTGTTTTTAAAGGATGGATCTGAGTTTTTGGTTTYTAACAGGAGACAGATCTGCTACAAATATTCATAGAGGGTTCAAGTATTTGTTCAACACTGTTGCACACAAATCCCCAGTTTGGTAAGGTGTATACAACCAGTCACACGTGTTCAAACACTTGTAATGTAATGTAATTTTAAAAAGCTTGCACAATAAACTCATTGTAATTTTACATGCATTTTGACTTTAAACATACTGTAGATAAAATGCTTTCAAACACACAGCATGTGAGGAAATSCAGCCATCAAATGAGGTGAAAGACTTTTTCTGCAGGATTGTTCAAATCTTCTTAAGAGGAGAAAACTTCTGTTAGCTTGATTCATGCTGGACTTTCCTATTTGACTCATTAGCGCCACTAGTGTTTGGACATGGAACTGCACCCATCTGCAAAGATGAGTGACAGGACAGGATCACTTCAGGGGGCCAATCAGATTTCAGCTAGGGGCCATTGTCCTTGTGGCCCCGCCCCTGCTCTGAAACTTTACACATGCAGTTTAGTAGTATCATCAACAGTTTTTGCATCTTTTAAAGATAAAACCCTCGGTAACCCTCATCACAACGTCATCTGAGGACTCAAAGTTCAGACGTATCCCAGAGTACCAACTCCTTGAATCTATTTTAGGGCATCAATGATCCTCTAATAAAGTTAAAGCAAGTATTTGAGTCACAACCCTCTAATTCTGTCAGTATCAGTTTTGTGTGTGTTTATGGTTGGTTTTATTCCTTTTGGTTTATTTTCTGTGTTATCTCTCTCTCTCTCTCTCTCTCTCTCTCTCTCTCTCTCTCTCTCTCTCTCTCTCTCTCTCTCTCACTTTCATAAAATCAGCTTGATGATGTTTGTGGCAGCTGATGTTTTAGAAATGTGATATTTATCAAAATCTAATTTGAATTTATTATATCACAAGCCTGTTTTTTAAAGCAAACTAAACTTCTCCAAAGCCAATCTTCCATTATATGACAAATATTTCAATACTTTTATTTTTGAAGTTTTATCTGGCAGTAAAAACTTTGCAAAGACACAGCTTCACTAAGTCATAATCCACTATAACTTTGCTCATCATAAAAAACTTGAACAAGTAAAAATGATCTGTTTGTTTTATTGGCTGAGGTTTCCAATATTGTTTCTTATCATTGCGGCAATCACAGTTATTTTTTGTATTAAAAATGTTCAAAAAAATTAACAAAGTTAAGAGATAAACAAATAAAAGAGGAGTCAGCAGAAGGGCTGTCTTGACTTTCATGGTTTTTAATATACTAGGATGAATTGGGGGAAAATGCATTGTGATAGTGTTCGTTGTGTTCAACATTTGGTCATTTTGAGTCTTTAAGATGAACAATTCTCAGCAAATTGTGTCTTAAACCTGTAGATTGTTAACTGACCCCAATTAAGTAGAGCATGCAACAATTTCTTTATGAATCTAATGACAGAAATAAAATAAAAGCTGTGTTTGAGTTGATTTAGTTCTGGATCATTTCAGCGCTGCTTTCTGTCCAGAAGGTGGCGACATCTCTTTCTGATTCACACAACAATGCAACTTTTTTGGGGGTCAACAAACTAATAAGTTTAGGAAAAGAAATTAAATTGTAATAGCTGTGGCAACTTCTTTCAAACAAGTTAATATTTTATTTTACTTGATTATTTTACAAGTTTAAAGTACATTTCAATGTCTTTAGCTGTGGGCAGTGGCAGAAACTGCTGGATTCAGATTTTCCACATTATATCCACTTTGTTCTAATAAAAAAGGACTGTTTGGCCTCCCTGCTGTGAAGAGAACAGCCTGACACGATCAACCAGTATGTAAGCTGACACGTTCCTTTAGATGGGGCAGCTAGCAGGTGAGGTTAGCAGGTGAGGTTAAAAGTCGTGTTTTCCAGGCATCACAGCTGGAAGGAGCTCACGCAGATTCCAGCAGGATTATTTTATTAAAAACTCAAGAGTTCACAGATTTACACCTGCAGCTGCACCGACAGTAAAGCTATAATTAACCTGTGCAAACCAGAGCAGATTGGGACAGATTTGGAACGAAAGCACTCCCCTGCAGGAAGCAGCTTTGCAGATCTGAGTGCCGTCTGAGTCAAAGGTCAGAAGAAGTAAGGCGTTTGTATGGAAGCCAGAAATCCTGAGGAATTTTCAGAGCCCCCAACTGGGTCTTGGAAAGTAATAAGTTTTAAAGGGTTACAGTGATCGGACCCAGTGGACCCAAATGTGGGGTGAAGGTTTCTGGTCCCGTTGAAGATTCTGTCAAAGGGATCTTCAGCTCTTATCTCTGGCAGGATGTCAACTCAGTCCCAGTGGAGGCTGAGGGTCAGTGAGTCCAAGTGGGCCATCCTTCCCTCTATCGTCGCTGCCCTGAGCTGTAGCGGTGTAAGAAAATATCGATACACTGAAATATCGCAATATTTCATTTCCCGATACTGTATCGATATTCTAAAGCCCTGTATCGATTTTTAATTAAGGTTTAAAATGTCAACTTTCTTGCCAACCGTTCATTTTTATGTTGTAGTTCAGCCTCTGACCACTAGTTGGCAGCAGTGAGCCAGCCATTTGGCTCCTCTACCTCTTGAGCGCCAGAGAGTAAGAGAGCATTAGCATTGTAAGTAAACATTAGCTTTCCTTTTTTTCAGTAAGAGGTTTTTWTTTAATAGCATTTTTGGACAAAAACATCGCAATATATCGCCTTGCTTATAGTATCACAATATATCGCAATATATCGGGATATATCGTATCGTGACCCCTCTGTCACGATATGTATCGTATCGCCAAATTCTTGCCAATACACAGCCCTACTGAGCTGTGGATGAAAGGTTGTTGGTACCACTCACAGCGGCCATCTTTAACCTGTTGTTGAGCACCCTGAGTAAGGGCGTTGACCTCAGTCAATGATGTCATTAAGCGATGGAAAGAGTACTTCGAGGTCCCTCTTTTCCCACCAGCATGTCTTCCAAAGWGGAATCTGTATTGCTCACTAAGCCCAGTCTGTCTTTATGTTTCGTCTGGTTATTCATGAATCACTGACGGAGGCTGGACATGTCCCGCTCAGACGTGAGCTTTCAGAAATAAAACGAGCAACGCAGAACTCAGTCTGATTGGTTCTGACCGATCAGACTGTAGTTGATGTATTGTACACCCCTGCAAGAAAAAGTTCTAACAGGAGCTTAGAATGGGTTCTCTGAAGCCATTTGAGAACGAAAAGATGAAATTTTCATCATGCAACTACGTCAACAAGAACAAGTATCTTGATTTCCTGCAGCATATAAAGGCCTCTGCATCCGAACCTTCAAAATCCTCTCTCATTGTGGTAGTTGTGTGATGGAAGCATCTTTTATTCTCAGYCTTGTGTCTCCCACGATGGGCCCTTGAATCAGCCTTAAGTTCTGGACTGAGGTGTTTATTGAAAGAACCTCAAGACTTATGACATTAGGGTCCAACGTGGTTGATAAGCAACCGACCAGTCGACAATACGCAGTCATGTGGTGGCAGGAGTTTTGTTTTTGCACAGACCTTATACAGCCGATGAGACACATGGTGCAGAGCTCATAGGAAACCCCTCCCCCTGCTGCACACGGTGGCTATTTGACTATCTAGGAACAATAGCCGGCTTCTAAAGGTGGAGTAGTTGATGCAAAATGCCGCCATTGCTGTTCAAGTAGTTTGGGCTTGGGCCTCGTGACAACAAGAAGGGGCGGACTACACAAGGCTGAGAACAAAATGATGCGATTTGTATCACACAACTACAATGAGAGTGGATTTCGCAGGATCAGATGGACCTTGCAGAGCCCTTTAGTCCCAGATTGAACTAATTAATGTAAGAACCCTAAAGGGGACATATCATGCTTTTAAATGATTCCTTTTCACATTTAAATCATTCAGTTGCGGTCTATAAAAAGTGGAACCGCAACGCTTTGGTCCGAATTCCTCCTTATTGTAGCTCCACAAGCCCCTCTTTTACCCCATGCTCTGAGATGCTTCTGAGACTAACTCGTTTTTGCGCTGTCTCTTTAAATGCAAATGTGTCTCTGCTATCAACCAACATAAATGGCCGAACAGGTTGGAGTGGACAACGATCACTGGGAGTAAGACCTGGAGGGGGGCGGGGGGGTTCTAGTGGTGCAGAAACCTTTTATTTACAAATGGATTATAAGAGGTCAACAACAGAAGACTTGTCCAGAGTCCGACCCAGAGGAGAATGAAAATGACAGACTTGCAGAACTGAGAATTTGCAAAAGTCCATGACCTTGTTTAGCAGTTCCACAGCAAATAATGTGACGTTAATATTTAAAAAAAATCTAATATGTAAAAGAGAAAACTGAACGAATTGAAAAATATGACCCAGACAGAATATAAAGATATTTATGCAGCACCAGGAGAGACTAAGTTAAACTGTTCGGCACTCCTACAGACTCCAAGTACACACACAAAAAAAAATCTAATATGTAAAAGAGAAAACTGAACGAATTGAAAAATATGACCCAAACAGAATATAAAGATATCTTTGCAGCACCAGGAGAGACTAAGTTAAACTTTTCTGCACTTCTAGAGACTCCAAGTCCACAACAAAATGCATTTAACAGCAAAAAAGTGGATTTTGTATTATCTGTCTCCTTTAAGCAAATTACCAATTAACACAAGACACCACCCAAGTGCTG